CGGCGTCTCCTTGCGCCGGGCGGCGTCTCCTTGCACCGGGCGGCGTCCTCTGGGTGCAAATCTGATCAGATCTGCGGCGTTGGGTCAAACTTTGTGTTTTATCTTTCTTCATTATTTTTTGACTTGTTTTTAACAGACGACCCGACAGAATCTCCCGCTGCTCAGACCTGTCGGCGCGCGTCTTCCTCACCTGTCGAGCCGCACGCCGACGCCCACGCCATTTTTTATTAAGAAATTTCTCCTCACCAAAATAACCCGGCATATTAATTCCCATCGTCATTTTTTAACCAATGGAGATGAAATAATATTTCCAATCAACTAACGGTTCTACAGTTTGTTATCGGTAGACTTTAATGTACTTTATACAAAAAGAGGAAAAATATCATGTTGGTTCTGTTTCAACATAACGTCTCCGATGATGATGTTAAAGTTCAGTGACCAACGCAGCAGAATCTTTGGGCTGCTACTCTGTATTATTAGTAGTCTGGTTCTGGACGACCCGGCAGCTCATCCAACTGGGTCTGATCCTCAACAACAAGGTTTGGAATAATCCAAGGTTTTTCTGCAGCAGGTTTGACATTTCTTCCCTCCTCCAAATTTATCAGTATCCATCCTGTTGTGTGTTGGTGTGACCCGGTCCCTTCATCAGCGGTTCTGTCCCATAAAGAAACATTGGTGTCATCAGCATAGAAAGTCCACAGGAACAAGTTTGGATCTTTATGAAAGTTTCTATCTGGGTTCTACCAGGTGGCGCCATGGCAGCACGGCTTCTGGACCGCCTGAAGCGCTCTCTGTTTAAGGACACTCAGGGGCCCGAATCGGACCGGAGAGCAGGGGAAGGACCAGAGGAGGGGCGGGGCTTCAGCAAGGAGTGGTGGGAGGCGGAGCTAGAGGAGGAGGAGGAGGAGGGCGTGACGGAGCGACTCAGAGGAAGGCTTTGCTTCGATGGCGGAGAGTTTGGAGGCGAGGAGATGGACAGCGACTCTGACTTCCTGGGAGAGTCGATGGAGGAGGGCCTGAGCAGCACTGGTGAGGGTTTGAGGGGCGGGGGGGGGGTCTGAGAGCAGGTCTGTAGCTGAGGAACCGTGAGAAGAAGCAGTCTGCTGTACGGAGGCAAGCTGAGGGCGGGGCCTGCTCCTCTGAGCTGATGGAGAATTTAAAATCCTCCTTCTCACATATAAAGCCTTAAATGGCCAAGCTCCATCTGATATCAGAGATCTGATTGTTCCTGATGTTCC